CAATGACTGGGTACTAGGTTACCTATGCAGGACACAGTCCTCATGTGTCCAAGGGCATTTAAAGCACCTACGAAGAATTTCTCAATCAGCTTCAGAAGACTGCTGGAGGCAAACTGTTTCGGCTGTAGCACTATCTTAATAAAACTACAGAGAGGTCTGGTTAGCTAGGAGGCTTTCAATAAGAATGATTCCCTAGCCTGAATGGGGTCCAAGGACCACGCAATCCTAATAATCTGCCTCGTTTCAATATAGTTTTCTAAAATGACCAAAAAAAAACCAAAAAAAAAACAAAACAAACTATGGCCTTTCAGTAATGCTATAAAGGGCTATTTTTTCCAGAAAGATTTACTTGTCAGTTGGCTATTTCTTTAAGAACAGCACTTTAGAAAATAGATTAAACAATTTAACAGAGATCATTAAAGTATTTTTAGAGCTATCAGAGCACGTTTTTCCTGAGTGATCCAGGTTGGAAAGACAAGAACGGTGTACCTCTTTATTGTGCCTCAGACACACGTGTACCAACATGGTCATGATGATTCTAGCAAAGTCAAATCTGTGTTTCTCAAACTGAGTGCAAAACACACAGATTTATGTTTCCAGGAGAGAAACCAAGGTTCTTTACCACGAATTGCCTTTAGGAGAGGGTGGTACGAACGTTACTTCTTGGGTATTTACAGGACACATTTAGCATGTTAAACATTTCCAGAAAGTTGACAGTGAAAATAACTCTTTTAACTCAAGCATTTCTTAAACTAGTTTGGGTGGTGAATTGTGTTTTTTCAGCATCAATATGAACAGTTTACAGTTTGAGGAGTACTAGTTGTTGTTTTTGTTATATGCCGTGGAGTCAGTTCCGACTCATGGCGATCCTGTAAGGCTTCCGAGCCTGTAAATCTTTACGGGAGAAGAAAGCCTCAACTTTATCCTGCAGAGCGGCTGGTAGTTACTAACTGCTTACCTTGCGGTTCACAGCTCAACTCATAACCACTATGCTAGACTTGCCTAGAAATTCTGTGTCTATAAATACATACATACAATTGTTGGTTGGTTGAAGGTGTGTGTGTGTGTGTGTGTGTGTGTAAAATGGGGATGGGAATAGAAACAAACATGAAAATAATGGAATGATCATTTATGCTTGTCCCAATCCAGCGCCTCTCAATTTGAGGGCTCCAAGAATCGGACCCTTGGGGTGTACCTGTGAAGTCCAGCTGAGACCCACTCAGTGGCAGTTCAACAACACCACTGTCAGAGACCCCTCTGTGTCAATATCAGTGTAGACACAAGTGCAGGCCCTGAAACCCCAGGCAGCTCTCAGCCACAAAATGGTGACTCAGAAGTTTGGGAACACGTATCAATTAACATGAACACAAAATTGTAAATCTTCATAGGTGTCTCAGAACACTCTACTGACACACACACACGGAAAATTAAAAACAAACAAACAAAACACTCCCACCACTTTTAGACTCCTCCAGAGAATTGTGGACTTCAATTTGAGAAACACAGATCTAATCTAACATCCAACATTCATGTGATAGACAAGATTACCAGAGAGATGACGTCACCAGAGGCAACAAGAGTTAGGCTCAGCCCCTTAGGCTCCTGAGCCCCAATCCTCTCCACTGTTGTTATTAGTAATACCTAACTACACATATCAAATGGCTTTAGAGACAACTTACTCTGTGTTCAACTAAAGGTATGTGGTAAGGTGGATGGGGGGGGGAGGGGGGCTTCAAAAAGTTTGTAGAAAAATTCCATTATCATTCCGTCTCATTCTTCCACGACCATTGTGAAGGCCCTCATACATACATGAATGTGGGATACAGTGTGCCCTGAAAGCCTGAAGCTACGCTCATCAGAACAGGATACCTGCTGTTTGGCTAGGGAGCTAGTACATTTGTGACAAAAACTCACCTGGCTTCTTAAACTAGTAATCTTTCCAAAATCTGCATCTAATTTTCACCAAATTGAAATAACTGTTAAAATGGAACTAAATATTACATTTGAAAAGTCTATTCTAACAAATCTCTTCAAAAGTCAGCAAAGCCATTTTGTATTTGTCCCCCCCTTTTTTTAAGTTACAAAAAGAACATGTACTATTTAGAAAGTGACTTCCATGTGTGTGTTTTTCCAAAATCGTTTGTTTTCATTCACTTAAAGCATCTAGTCCTGCACCTGGCACCACGTTGTTCTTTTCCTCCTCCTAGACAGTACGGTGTGGACTGTATAGAAACGCAATTATAAACCTGAGACGAAATAAAACCTTTTAAAGGTGTGCTTTCCTCCACCATTTATGCATCAAAACGAAAACGGTTACTTACTAAAAAGAAAAACGTTTTTTTTTTCAAAAGACAAGAGAGAAATAAATGAAAATTTTTAAATACACAAAAAAGTGACATTATATTTTCTAGGTTATATATAACAAAGAAAAAACAACTTTTTTTTCTATCAAGGCAGTTAGAAAATGTTTATTACCTGCCTTTCCTTTGTAAAAAAGCTACGTTTAGGGGAACTGCCAAAAAACATAAAACTGCAAACTATCCTGCTCCCCCACCCCCCCGCCATGTAACAAATATTAAAAGCCACAGGCTAGCAAATGCAAAATTTATTTCAACTGTACATAACATATGTCTTGTTTTTTTAATATAAAACAAACACTTCATTGCCATATGCAACCACAAACAATAATATGCATACTGTACAATACAATACAACATTCAGATATACATCCAATTGATTGTTTCAAATGGCAGTCAGCTACTAAAAATGGCTTTTCCCATTGACAGATAAAAACACAATATATCATCCCCCCACCCCTCCAACAAGGCCTTATACCACTATATACACATTACTGTGTTTTGGCAATTGAATGCAAAACACACAATATAGCTTATTAGATACTTATGGCAAGTCTGAATTAAATGGGAACACCATTTAAGCCATTTGTAAAGGGTTGGATAATGGCTGAAACCTACCTTCTAAATCAGATTCTTCATCCTTTCATGATAATACTAGCTGTACACATATCTATTACAAAATTGCATAAACAGAAGGGACTACTATCAGCATGACTAAAGTGCCACAAAAATGGAAACACTGACCCTCTGAACATCGTATCACGGCTGCCACACTAGAATTCCTTTTAGGCCCGTGGCACTAATACTTCTAACCAGGTCACACAAGCTCATGGTGTCAGACATTAAAAACAAATCAAAACAAACAAAAAGCCAAACTAGTATTCAGCAGTGATCTTAGCATTAGAAACAAATCATCCACATAATGGGTTTTAACAGGTACAAAGGGAATGGCGGTAAGATGTGAAGACTTTGGTGTATAGAATATCAATTAGAATGTCTAATCAAGATAATCCAAATGATACTTGGTGCTTAACAAAAGTTCAAGTGCAGCCACTGCATATCAACGTTGGAGATCTATATATATATATATAGCACATGGCATACGCAACTCAAGCTTACTAAGGCATGGCAAAGGCAGTTAAACCAATGCATTCATTTTATTACAGTCTCCAAGCAAACACGATATTCTAATATTAGTATCAGAACAGATGACTAGTCTATGTAATATAAAATAAAACAAATTTGCTTCTATATTCCTTAAATAATATTAAGTATATAAACTTTGTAGTTATCATAGTTCTCCCAAAATTCCACCTGCCATTTGGCCGAACGTACATAAACTCCCCATATCTACTGTGAGTTAATACTGGGCTCTTCACCTTTCTTACTTATACTGATTGTTAATATTTAAAGAATGACTTCTCTAGATGATGTAAGTAGTTCAGTTACTACTTCCAAGGGAGCAAATATTTGACTAGAACCATTTTCCTAAAGACCTTAAAAAGAGTGACTTCTGTGCAGTCGACTCCTATCATGAAGTAACAAAGCCGTTGGACTTTTTTAAACAATATGTCACTGGCAGAAGTTCACTAGCACCTCTGGGCTTGGGAGCAACAGAACCCAACTCCCAGGAAACCATCATGTACTGTACCAAGTTGTCACTACGTAAACAAAATCAGAACACTGAATACATGTATTTGGCGAAGGAGTGGGGTGGTGGAAGAAGAGAGAAATCATCGCCACCTGGAATTACAGCCATCCTAAAGAAAGGAAAAAATGTTATTCTCGATTTATTAGGACATCTTGCTTTCTGAAGGCAGCTTCAATGAAAACTTTAATTAAAACACATTAATTTTCATCTTAATACTAAATACATTGTGAACTGATGAGAACACAGTTCTTCCCTTCTAGAAATGACCAGATGTAGATTTGAATGCTACAACTGAATGTAACGTGGCACATTCAGTTCTTTTTGAAGCAAAAATTAGTCTGAGTGAGGCCAGTGAAATCTCCTTACAACAAATCCCAAGAAGGTGGGGCAGTGTCTCACCCAAATCTGAGATTTTTTTTAAAAAAAATGAGTTACGTGACAACCTAATAAATCTTCAATGGACTTACACATTCCATTACAATACAGATGATACACTATAGGGTTGCTGTAAATGGAGTTTCACTGCAGCTGGTTGCTGAAAAGAAAATTCATGTTGTTCATGGCCATTACAAACAGCGTAAGTATGAATGTCAGGGATGCAGCCAAGCTGTGACTTAAGCCCAAGCATTGGATTCTGTGAGGATACCAAGTGTCTATGTGAACCCAGGCTAGTCTACACTTTTCCATGTGGAATACTTCCGGCTTTGTCTTTAAGCCTGTATGAGACAGGTGGGGTTTAGACTCTACAACAGTTTGGTGTGATCATCAAAGTAAATGTCTCTGAGCTTTGAGAGTTAACTTTGCCTTTGTAGTGAAGAGCTCCACTATCAAGGCCAAATGGGAAACATGGTACTGTCATGCCAGGAAACGGAAGCGCACAGAGGTGTGGGTGGCGAAGCCAACCTCGGAAAGACATAAAGTGGACTCTTCTTCACATCTACCAAGGCAAAGAACTCAGGCTGGCAACATGAACAGATCTTTCTTCCTAAGAACCAGATGCTCTTACAGAGTTCGCAGAAACACAGCTATCTGAACTGAATTTACAGTACTTTTTTTGCATATTTTACCTCTGAACAACTGATTGATTGGTGTGTGTCTATTATACATAAAAAAATTCAAGGTTCCTATAAGGCTAAAATTTCCTCCACGTTGCTGGCACTTAAAATGGCAAACCTGTACGGTTTCAGTATAAAATAGAAACATGTTCATACAGCTGTATCCAAAGAAATCCAACAGTTGCTACACTGAGAATAATTAAGAAAAAAACAAAACAAACCATTTGGAGCTGTATCTAAAACAACAGCTATCCATTCAAACAAAGACCCCTCAGGTATTGGCTTGTGAATATACCATCTTCCTTCAACAGTCAGTCATTTGAATGTATATTCAAATTGGCAGTCAAGCCTCCACAAAGTACAATGGAAAATATCAGAAACGCTCTCAAAAGTTGTTAAAATATCACATTAAAAGAGACAAGGAACAGCAAGAAAACATCTAAGAAAAGCAGGCTGTGATACAACAAGCATTTGTTAAGAAAAGCTCAGAGTGCATTAGTTCTGGTGAGAGATATATGAGCAACAGCTCTTACGAGATGTAGAACCCATTCTGTAACTATGGGCTGTCCATATACTGTCATAGTCAGAGTCTTCTGAGAGGTCTGAAGGCTCCAAACGAGAAAGGCTAGTGCGACGACCCAAGGAGTCTAGACTTGATTGGTCATCATCAGCCAAGACGTGATTATGCATCAGGTCAGTGCCTTGCCATGCTAAGGACGTATGGGTGAAATGAAATGACAGGTGTGGATAGGCAAAGGTGGGATGGAAAGGAAAACGAACAGGAATAGCCACAACCAAAAAACATGAAAACAAAAGCAAAAGGTGATGGGAAGAGAAGGAAAAGAGAAAATATTGTTAAAAATAATGGCATCAATGTCTACTTATCCTTAATTATGGCTGGGTTTTAAAAATGAACTTAAGTATAACCCTTAATATACAATGAATTCAATTTTATTAAATAACCGTAAACCATGATATTGCTTTAAAAACCGCACCTTTCAAATTTTAAAGTTACTAGCATAAGGTTCTCAGTTAAGAAATCTTTCAGCCCAGCTCCCAACACCATTTCTATAAATCCCTGACAACCAATTCTACTGTACATTACATAACACGTAGTCTGATTTAAAACAGTATTTGTAAAAGGAACCATCTGTATAGCCAAGTTAAAACTGTTTCCTGTTCATTAAGGGGATGTATTAAATGCAAAGTAGTTTAAAGGATTTTTGACTTACTTCTTCAGCTATCTCTGCCAAGACTATAAATCACCAGAAGTCATCTTAATCATGGGGAACTAAACTTACCTTGTCAATACAAAACCACTGTAAAAATTTCAGAGTGGAGAAATGCATTAAGTAGGGTCTAATTCGCCCTGTGTCCCACCTCCCCTCATTCTACTAGCCCACTGAGTGCAGTAGCTGCCTTAACAATTCTCATCTGAGTTCAGCCAAAGGGAATGAACCCAATGGGAAGCCATGTCTGTTAATAGAAGTATCAATCCTATGCAGACCACTTCTATTGTCAGAAACAGTTGTGTGCACTGGCAATGCCACTATGCTAAAAGGAGGGCAACACAGAAGGAAGTGGGGACAAAATGACAAAACCAAAAGTACTCCATGAGTGGCTGGCAATTGTGATCAATGAGACTGGCCAAGCACCTGTGATGGAAAACCCCCATGCAGAACCAGAAAGGGCTAAGGAGGTAGAGGGTCTCCAAAGTACACACTGTGTAAGAAATAAGGGGCTCCCTTTATGATCTCTAACGGCAAAGCCCACATTTCTTCCTCGTTCCTCCTTTTCATCATAGTAAATTCTGTCTCATAATCACAAGAATCAGCAGTGGACTATTAGAGATTTAACTAAATCACCAGATTCTGTTAAGGTGATTACTTCCTAAACTTCTAAATGTTTCCCAGAATTACATGTGTTTGGTTGAATCTTTTTGGAATCTTAATGTATACTGAACAGAAGTGAATTTTAGGCAAAATATGTTACCCTTCTAAAAACTGAAGCACTGAATGTGAAAACTGAGCTTTCCCTATGTTTCCACTTCCAGAATCTCTTGAGTGACCTTTACCATGAAAGGGATCACTGTCTCCTGTCACGACCTTTTTTTTGAGTATGTTAGTTTTAACATGCTATGATTACGATCCCTCTAAGGTCACAGAGTAGTATGGGCATAGTATCACTTCAAACAAAAATCACTGTATTGTCCAATGCTTTTCTTGTATAGGAGAAATGAAAACAAGTAGGCAATGGTGTAAGGAAAGGTCTGCACCAGTTATGGGTCGTTCCTTCCAGGCAGCCAGAAAAAGCAACACCCCAAGCATAGTACACGGCACCGAGTCTTGTTATGAAACTATACGGCTTGCACTAAAAAAACAAAGAGCTCATATTACCTGGTCTGTTCATCTGAGACTACTGGGTTACAATTTTATTTCAAGTAACTGAAATTGAGAAGTCTAATTGTGAAAACTCTAAAATTCAGAGTCCACAAAACTGTGGCCACATTTAACAGTCTATTACAGTCCCTAGTAAGTCAACAAAGTGATAACACCTTCAGCCACAATAATCTATATTAACAAATTATTGCTTCATGGTCCATATGCTGAGTCCATACTGATAGGATTTTTAGGCTTCTGTGTTTCTCTTCTACAAGTGTGACTTGTTACTACGGGTGGACTTTTAAACCAGAAACAGCACAGACAAAAAAGGAGTGTTGGTGCTTGGTAAAAAGTCTTAAGGACACAGGTTGTTGTTGTTGTTATGTGCCATCGAGTCAGTTCTGACTCATAGCGACCCTGTATAGGGTTTCCGAGGCTGTAAATCTTTACGGGAGCAGAAAGCCTCATCTTTCTCCTATGAAGCGGCTGGTAGTTTCGAACTGCTGACCTTGCGGTTCGCAGCCTGATTCATAACCACTACGCATCCAGAGCTCCTTAAGGACATAGGTAGGATATGGTAAAACAACAGCCACAAATATTTTCTACATAATCTGAAGATCTAACCTAGAATTTACCTCTGCTAGCCCTACTTTCATAGCTGCATAGTTCTCATCAACAAAAGCTAAAGTGTTACAAGTATCTTTTCAGATTGTTTTATTAAAGCGTTAGTTTAAAGTGTATGTAACACTAATTTTAACCACTATTTTACAAGGTGATGAAAAGGAAGAGGTGAGAATAAGTCATTTGTCCAAAGTCAAGGTGAAAGGGGAACTGAGCATATAAAATATAATGGAAATCAGTTTTTATGACAGAAACAAGATATAAATAATCAACTTCTTAAAAAAAAAAAAGAAAAAATCAACTTAGGCACTGGCAGTACAGAGTGCATCCTGGAGTGTCAATGGCTAACCTAGCCCTCGTGTATCATGAAACGTCAGCCACTCAGGGCAGCAAGTAAGGGGAAAAAATAAGCCCCCTTCTTGTGAGCAACAACAAAATGCACTTTTACATCTGTCGTTATCAAAGTAGATTCCACCCTTAACGATCAGAAAGATTAAAAAACAAAAAGGCTTTACTGTCCATAAAATGCACTACGATTTTCTCATTTAAGACAGAATGTAATGGACACAGACAGATAAATTCAAGTGGTGATGAAATCTATCAAATAAATTTGTTCAGGTCTATGAGAATTTTTTTTTTTTTTCAAGCAGGCATTAAATAAGACAGGGATAGAGTGACTAAAAAAGTCTTGTTCTGGATTTATATTTTAGATAATTTTAAGAAGTTAGGGGGGAAAAAATCATCACATCAATAAGCTCGAATAACTGATTTCATCTCCATTGTCTTTTAAACACATCTTCTCTAAGCAAAGGAAGACTTTATAAATTCCGATAGTATCTTTTTACTCTTTGTTTCCCAGCATAATGTCATCTATAAACATTAGTTATTTTGTGGATAATTAAGATTTGTTCGTACTAATTCAAGGATTTCAGGTTCAAGCTATACCACGGAACTGTCACTGACTACAAACAGCTCAGACATAAAGGAGCGATCAGTGGGCCCAAGTGAACACTTTACTTTTCGATTGACAAGTTCCACAATTCCTACTGCGTTATTGTAAATTGAAACTTACTTGAATTGAGTGTTTGTCGTGTTTTGGCACTTGTGCAGTAGGCTTCAATAACTTTTAAAATCTGAGCATCTTCTTCCAAAGCAGCTGTACCTGGTTAAAGGAACAACACACTGCAATTTAATGAAAATTAATAAGCAGTAATAGAGAACTCAAAGAGTCCTGGTGAGGCGCTGTAAGGTAAGCACTGGACTGCTAAACACAAAGTCGTCAGTTCAAGCCCACCAGCTGCTCCTTGGAAACCCTATACAAGGTTGCTATGAGTCGGAACCAACTTGACAGTATTTAACTGCAATAAATTAACTAGGTGAACGCAAAATCATCAATTCAACCAAAAAGTGATAGTATCTAAAATATTCAGAAAATAGTCGTATTCCAAAGATTTTTAGTTTTTAAGTATTTTCTATTTGCAACCTATCTGGCTATATATATAAGCTGTCATACTAATTCATATGAAAAACATGACTCCTTACGTACAAATTGAAAAAAACAGCAAGAGATAGGGAAAAGCAGCTCATAACGTAAGAATATAATCAGTTATAAAAGATGTTTAATCTTACTAACCAAGAAATAAAAACTAAAACAGAGTATGGTTTCTCACATACCAGCCTGACAAAAGTGAAAAGGACTGCTAGTTCTCGATATCGATGTGGATGCAGGCAAAGGAGAGCACTTCAACGCAATTGGCTGGAGGGAAAATGGAAGTAGCTCTCCAAAATCTGCACACATTTGTGGAAGGCCTTTTACAAGATGGCTTCCCTCTGAGCCATGACTCATTAATGGAGTTTCATCTAAGAAAAACAAGCTAATGACTAAAAACTCACCACCAGGACCCTTAAAGTGGTATCAGGAATTTACAAAACCCAACCTAGAGTTCACATGGTAAGCACTTGACTGACAAGGTCACAGTTCAAGCCTACCAGCGGCTCTGCTGGAGAAAGAGGAGGCTTTCGGCAACCTCAAAGATCTAAAAAGCCTCAGAACCCATATACAGGGTCTCTGGGAGTGAGAACCGACTCTACGGCACTCAGCAACAACATACCAGCAATCTAGAGCCTAACGGTGCCGTTCTTTAACTGAGCAACAGTGACAGTGCAGGCCGGCCTCTGCAGACTCAGGAAGATAGATGAGTGGCAGATTATCCACAGATTTCTCTAATTAATATTAATTTACTTTCACCTAACTGATGAGGCAAGGTAGAAAAGTCATCTATTTTTTCTAAATAACTGTTTACACGCTGGCCTTCATCTACACCCAGAGATCAGACACTGGTATCACAGGACCATGCACACTAACAGCATCTAATGAACGACAGCAGTGCTAGGCGTAGCACTCTGCACGCAGGTTCTGCTCAGTAAAGATTACACACTGCTGGGCGAATACCACAGCTGACAGAACTGCCCGACACTTTCCCGTATTACTTGGAAATATAGATTATATATATATAGATATTAGATTATCTATATGTATATAATCTAATTTTAGGAGGTGTAGTAAAGTAATTCCCACAGGTGGGCAGTTCCCGCTTCACCAACAGTAAAGTCTCTGTATGAGTGGTATTAATTGGCTGGCTGGTAAAGTGTGACTATTTCCAGATATGTATATGTATAAGACACATCACAAATTACAAAGCAAGCCTCACAAAGCCAGAAAGATGTTACGGTTTGCATGGACGTATTGGATTGTAAACTATCATTGCTGTCATTAGTGATCTACCTTTCATAAGAGAAGCTTATTGTTGTTGTTGTTAGGTGCCACCGAATCGGAACTGACTCATAGTGACCTTATGCGCAGCAGAACGAAACACTGCCCGATCCTGGGCCAACCTCACTACTGTTGCCACACTTCAGTCCATTGATACTGCCACTTGACCAATCCATCTCATTGAGGGTCTTCCTCTTTTTCTCTGACCCTCCACTTTACCAAACATGATATCCTTCTCCAGCAACTGGTCCTTCCTGACAATATGTCTGAAGTACGAGAGACAAAGTTTGGCCATCTTGGCTTCCAAGGAGCACTCTGGCTGCACTTCTTCAAAAACGGATCTGTTGATTCTTTTGGCAGCCCATGGCACTTTCAATATTCTCCTCTAACACCACATCTCAAAAGCATCAATTTTTCTATGATCTTCCTTATTCACT